ATAGGACGAAGGTGAAGGAAAAAGTAGGACCTCTGAAAACTGGGAATGGAAAGCTGACGGATTTAATGAACTGGAAATGTGTTCCTTATTTAATGACTATTTTTTGTCAGTTTTTACACAGGAAGATGTAAATGAGATTCCAGCAATTAACAATTATTTAGTTCCTGATGAATTTAAGTTAACTAATATTACTGTCACGAGGGGCATGGTTATTAAACAGATAGACAAACTGAAACAAAATAAGTCCCCGGGACCCGATGAGTTGTTTTCAAGGGTACTTAAGGAATGCAAGATGGAGCTTAGTCAGCCATTAACGAGTGTATTCAATGCGTCCATCCTTACCGGTGTTGTGCCAGAGTTGTGGAAGATGGCTAATGTGGTTCCTATATTCAAATCAGGGGATAAGTCCACTCCTTCAAATTACCGTCCAATAAGCCTGACATCTATAGTGGGCAAGTTATTAGAATCAATTATAGCTGACATTATCAGAAGTCACCTTGAAGAGCATAACTTGATAAATGAATCTCAGCATGGATTCACGAGAGGTCGTTCCTGCCTGACAAACTTTCTGACGTTCTTCAATAGAACATTTGAGGCAGTTGACAGTGATAAGGAATATGATATTGTTTATTTGGATTTTAGTAAAGCCTTCGATAGAGTACCTCACAAGAGACTCTTAAGAAAAGTGGCAGCTCATGGTATAGGAGGTAAAATTCTAGCATGGATTGAGGCATGGCTTACCAATAGAAAGCAGAGAGTTACCATTAATGGAGTGAAATCTGAATGGGGATTAGTCACTAGTGGCGTTCCACAAGGATCAGTTTTAGGCCCTCTCTTGTTCATAATTTACATTAATGACCTTGATGAAGGGATTACGAGTGACATGAGTAAATTTGCTGATGATACAAAGATAGGCCGTATAATTCACTCTGAGGAGGATATCAATGAACTCCAGGACGATTTGGACAAATTAATGTCTTGGTCTGAAAAATGGCAGATGAACTTCAATGTGGATAAGTGTAAGGTACTTGCCCTTGGTAATGAAAATAACCCTCGAAGCTATAATCTAGGTGAAGTAGAGCTTGATCATACAGAATGTGAAAAAGACTTGGGAGTCATGGTAAGCAGAAATCTAAAGCCAAGACAACAGTGCCTTAGTGTGCGCAACAAGGCCAACAGATTACTTGGATTTATCTTAAGAAGTATAAGTAACAGAAGTCCAAAAGTTATTTTACAGCTCTATACATCACTAGTGAGGCCTCATTTAGATTATGCTGCTCAGTTTTGGTCCCCTTACTACAGGATGGATATAAAGTAAAAGGACACAAGTGCAACTAATGAGACATTTTATTGTGGCAACGTTTCGCTCTCCAGGAGCTTTATCAAGCCATTACAAACAATACATGGACACAGAAGGTATATATAGGCTCAGTGTGAGGTGCAGTACTAGTGGTAGTGGTAGTAGTAGTAGTAGTAGTAGTAGTAGTAGTAGTAGTAGTAGTAGTAGTGACAAGTGTAGTAGTAGTAGTAATACAATATGGTAGAGCAATTAATTCGTACATGAGTAAAAGGATATAAAAGCTATTACTTGGGTAACATAAAAATAGGTTGGACAAATATAGACTGGATAGAGGCAGCCTGTTTCAGTGTTCACTCTCTGTTTCGAATACAATTAAACAAAACAACGGCAGCTTCACCATCTCTGAAGTCTTAGCAAGAATCCTCCTGAAAACAGTAAACCCTGCCATCACATAGTCTCTCCTGTTATACTACACAAAGCACATTACAGAGAGTGAACACTGAAACAGGCTGCCTCTATCCAGTCTATATTTGTCCAACCTATTTTTATGTTACCCAAGTAATAGCTTTTATATCCTTTTACTCATGTACGAATTAATTGCTCTACCATATTGTATTACTACTACTACTACTGAACATTAAAATGGTATAAAATACCGACAGATTGTTAGGTAAGACACATATGCAACAGTTAGGTATCTTTATTTCGAAAAGTTTCGCCTACACAGTAGGCTTCTTCAGTCGAGTACAGAAAAGTTGATAGAAGCAGAAGATACTTGAAGACGATGTAATCAGTCCATCACCCTTAAAGTTTTGAGGTGGTCAGTCCCTCAGTCTGGAGAAGAGCATTGTTCCGTTGTCTGAAACAATATTCCGTTGTCTGAAACAATGTTCCGTTGTCTGAAACAATATTGTTTCAGACAACGGAACAATGCTCTTCTCCAGACTGAGGGACTGACCACCTCAAAACTTTAAGGGTGATGGACTGATTACATCGTCTTCAAGTATCTTCTGCTTCTATCAACTTTTCTGTACTCGACTGAAGAAGCCTACTGTGTAGGCGAAACGTTTCGAAATAAAGATACCTAACTGTTGCATATGTATTTTCGTATGTAGATGCCTTACGAATTTCGTCCCATAGAAGTTTACTGCACTCCCTATCAAGATTTGGGGCCCTGTAAATCACACCCAAAATTAGTTTTCCTCGGCCCTCGAGAAGCTGTAACCAAACAGATTCAGTGGCTGACGCTTCTACTTTTATATCTTGTCTAACACAACAATTTAAATTGTCTCTGACTTACATCGCTACTCCACCACCCTTCCTGTTGACCCTGTCAGTGTGGAATAATTTACAGCCTTGTATGTGACATTCAGAGGGCATCTCTCTATCTTTCAGATTGAGCCAGGTCTCTGTTATAGCAATAATATTTATGTTTCCTGCACTTACAATTAATCTTAGCTCATCTATCTTATTTCTTACACTCCTGCTATTAGTATAGTAAACCTTAAGGGAGCTAGTCCCTTGCTGTCCTCTGCTGTCCCCCTTTGTTTGCTGACCTGATCTATTGTCTTTATTTATAACTTCATGCTGAATGCCTTTTATACATTTACTGTTTCCAACCCTAGTGTTGCAACCTGCTTGTTTCCCACACACACCCATACCTCTATCTTCTATCAGTTTAAAATCATAGGCATTTCACCAATGGCCTTCTCAATTGAGTTTGCAAGTGCTACCACCCCAGCCCCAGAGAGATGTACCCCATCCCTTGCATACATATCATGTTTGCCATAAAAGTTGTTCCAGTTGTCAATGAATGGGATTGCAAGTTCCTTGCAGTATCTGTCTAGCCAGCAATTTACATCAATTGCCCTAGACAACCATTCATTTCCTACTCCCCTTCTAGGCAAGATGCTACATATGATTGGGACCCCTCCCTTAGACTTAATGAAATCTATAGCTGACCTGTACTTACCTAGCAGCTCTTCTCTCCTACTCTTCCCAATATCATTTCCACCAGCACTGAGACAAATAATGGGCTTGTTCCCATTACCTGACATGATATTATCCAACCTGTTAACTATGTCCCCAACACCAGCTCCAGGGAAGCACACTCTATCTCTCATCTTCTTATTCCTATTACAAAAAGCACGGTCAATGTATCTTACCTGAGAGTCACCAACCACAAGAATGCGCTTACCTCCATTAGCAGGGGCAGTAGTACCCTTACCTTCACTGGCCACTGAAGTACATTCATCCTGAAGAACAGAGAAGCGATTTCCTACCTTCAGATCTTCACTCTTAACTTTCCTTACTCTGATGCGCCTCCCATTACTGTGAACCACTCACCACTTGTAGCAGGTGCTGGACTGCACCTCACTGCTGGTAGCCGTTGCTACCTCCCCACCTACAGCCTCCTCACAGTGAGAGACAGACTGCACCTCACTGCTAGAAGCCTCATTCCCCACAACTCCAGCCACCTCACACTCTCTCCCAGACCCATTGAGGTGGACCTTCAGCCTCCTAATCTCCTCCTGGAGAAGCAAGACCTCCTCCTTCAACTCTCCAACCTCAATTTTTAAAACACTGCAGAAGCAAGCCATGCTTTGTAACTGTACACGCTAATCCCCAAAGCAGGTCAGGGTCTGGGACCTCACGTGACGACTGACCATCTTGTCGGTATTGTGTACCATTCTTGCACAACCTGTCAGACACTGCAACATCATGGAATCTTGATTCTGAGGACATGTACATAACCTTCACGACTACGACAACTACTAGTACAACTAACCCATCTGTTTGGGTAGGACCTATTTCCACTGGGGAATCCCGCCTACCAGTGACTATGCCCTCTGCTACCCGTCCCATTTCCACCTGACGTTACTATATAAGCGTCAGGCGCCTTGCTTCTGCTTCAGAATCTCCACGACTATGGTGCTCTTCGCACCTACTGCTAGGTTGAGGGACTGATTACCTCATCTTCTGTACATAGTTCTCCTGTCTTCAAGTTATGTCCTGGAATCTGTATTGATAAAGCCACTGGATGGCGAAACGTCTACAATAAAGATACCCAGATGTTGCACATGTGTCTCAATTTCATCTTGTCGGTATTGTATACCATTCTTGCACAGTCTGATGAATATTTCACAATTATAATGCAATGTTGTTATTCACATCATAGAAGGGAAAACATTTGACTTAATCCTTAGAGACTCTAGACTGAGAGTGATACCAGAACCAAGGTCGAACAAGGATGATATGGTAGATTCCAAAGTGGTCTTGAACTAAATATGCAGCAGAGCAGGAATGCAATATAAAAATGGAGTGTATCCCTCTCAAAATATGTGAATCCGAGGAACGGTCTCACGAGAGTTAGCCAATCAGGTGCTCTAAGGATCGCATCCTCTCTTGCATCTTGTTGACGTTTAGAGAAAGAGTAAATGATGTCGAAGATGATGACATTACTGAGCAGATTAGTACCGAGCGACAACAAATCAGACTTTGATGATGAGCTGTTATAATTTTGCTATGAAAGTATGGTTGTAGAATACAAGGAGCAGATAAACTGTCATTTCGTGCATACTTATATTATTTCATACTTATATTGTTTTGTTGGGGGAAATTGATCAAATAAAGAGCGCCGAAGAGGCTGTCTTCCCTGTGGATTAGTTGACTTGACCAATAATGTGTATTCTGTGTACAGGTGGACATGCGGGCCGGGTGCCTGAACTCCAACGACTGTTTCATCGTGACGACGCCACTACTGACGTACGTGTGGTGCGGCAAGGGATCCACCGGTGACGAGCGGGAGATGGCTAAGACTCTGTCCTCCAAAAGGGGCGAGACTGTTATCGTTTCAGAGGGTGAGCAAGGGCGGTCGCTGTAGCAGATGTTGACAGAGGCAGTGAAAGGGACGAAGGTGACATAGGGTGACAGGGGCAGAGTCGGAAGTGGAAGACAAGTATGGAGAGAAGAGGAAAAAAAGCAGAGGTGTTAATGTTAGCTCAATGGTAGAGCATTCTGTGCACAACCAACAGGACCAGGGGACTGATTCCCGAATTAGGCGAAACATATGGGTAAATCTTATACCTGATCACCTAACAGGTGAGCAGGTATAAGATTATAATAGCCAGTCTCTGCCACAGTCCAACTCATTAACTCAGCATTACACAATATTAATCTGGTAAATATTTTCTTTGTTATACCTTCCACAACTCACTCACCAGAAGAATGTTTATGACTTAAGTATGGAATGTAACAGGTCATGAAAAGGAGGACTTCTGGAAGGCGCTGGGAGGAAAGGAAGCATATGCCAGCTCGGCCAGACTAAGAGAGGAGATCCCCACCCATTTACCAAGACTCTTCCACTGTTCCAACGCCACTGGTGTCTTCAAAGGCAAGTTCTTTACTTATATAACCTAACATTTCGACAATTAAGATACCTAACTATTGCACGTGTCATGTTCATCGGTATGTACATTAAGTGAAATTCACAGTATCGTAAGAATACCAGTGGGGAACGATCCCGTGACCGCACACACTAATCACCAAAATCTTTCAAACCAGGATTGTGATGACTCCCGGGCTTTAAGGAAAAGAATTTTAATGCGTCTTATGGACAGTAAGTTTCGGCTTCGTATATGTAAATTTTGTAAAAAATATTGAAATCTGGATTTTGGGTTCCAAGTTATAACTTGTAAATTCCCATTGTGATTGGTTTCAGATCTTTAAAGCTATTTAATTGCATTAGAAACTTATACTGCAATCTGTACTATTCCTATTGCGTGCATCGAGGTAGAGGAAACTGGGCTTATCGGACACAAGAAAATATTACTTGGATCGCGCAGGGAAGAAACATATCACGTTAAAAGGTGATGTAGAGCCATAGTAGTCGCATGTCACAACCAGTTAGCCAGTCATTTTTAGAATTTATTTTGTACGTTCAGTGGGCTTGTGGTGACACCTCACGTCATCCTAATAAGTGCGTGACAACTCCATCACAGTTATGTACGTTCATAACAGTGTGAGCTCTCAGTATGTATAGACACAAATGTAAAACACAACTAATGATACCCTGAACCTCAGTGATGTCGGAAAATTCTTTGAAACATTATTTTGGTCAACAGCAATGGAATATCACAACCGACTGATGAGTCAGTCATCGCTAGAATTCCTGCTACCTGCCTTCTGTCTGCTACCTGCGTGTTGGGGACTCATGCCTACATAATTCCTGTCCCTCAAGGAAGGCATTTTCATTGTCTAATATTTCTTCGTAACTCATATTTCTTAAATCTAGGAAAGCATTTTTTTAAGTTATTGCCCTGAGGGGCGAATTAATTAGGCAGCCACCATACGAAGAGTACATAATATCAACACAAATAGTTTATACTGGATTTCAGATCTATTCTTGACTTTTTCAGTATACAGTTATCACTACTATTACACAAATATTTGTGTATTGTTCCAGTCACGGTATTGTGCCTTTTTGTTAATCACTACTATTAAAATTGTAGTATCCACATCTACAGGTATCTTTACAATTACAGTATCCTTATGGAATTACTGTAATTGTATCCCCAGCTCGACTGACTTACCATCGTAAATGATGAATAGCTCAAGTGGTCGATGGGACGTAGTGTCTGGAAAATTGTTTTAAATCTGTTTTTTTTTTTTTCAAGTTGCAAATACCATAATTTTGGTCAATGTTTCTGTAAAAAAATCAGCATTAGTGATCCTTCATGAATGTAATGTAATATCACACTATCTTTTGTATATCTGATAATTGTTTCAATCATTTTACCAAGTTCGGTTTGTAGGTTTTTTTTTTTTTTTTTTTTTTTTTTATTCGCCGGTATTCTCCCGGCCCGGGTCTTTTCCAAGTAGTGGTGACCCGGCCTTGGCTCCCTATCTGGGGAGTGTCTCGAGACTTAAGTCTCCCATGGGAGGAGGTACAGTACCTCCTCATCTTTGGGACCAAGTGTCCCCAGGCCTAGCCACATTCCTCGCCCTCACGGGGCTCGTAGGGAGAAGCTAGGCCTCTGGTCTGCCATCTGCCCCGCCCCAAAGGGGCTCGTGGGGATGGCAGTCTTATGAGCTGCAGATGGTAGCAAGCTCAGAATATTTTCGGTTTGTAGGTGATGTTCAGTTCCTTATATATGACACCTAGTGAAAGATAAATATCAATGTGTTCCTTGACACCGTCAATGATATACACAAATAACCTGCACATAGGAGAATGAAACTTGTGATGACCTTTTAGTCCGACTTGAAACTTTAGCTAGTTAATGGTCCAAGTCGGACCGAAACGTTGTCACAAGTTCATTCTTATATATGCGGGTTATTTGTGTATTGTTCCAGTCACGGTGTTGTGTCTGTCTTCTTTTCGTCATTAATATATCATCAAAGTACTGAAACTTGATTATTTTTCATTGTTGTCACATAGCATATTAAGGTATAGCTTAAAATAACACCAAAATCATTTAAATATTTGTCAATACTCATTGAATATAATTAATTTGAAGCTTTAAGTGTAGGTCTCGCACAGTGATAGTCAGGCTTCACACGAGGAAGAATTTGCAGATGGTGGACTGAAAACTGCGAACACATGCAACATCCACTTTAATTGTATTGAGTGGGGCTTTCAATTGTGAAGATGCAACATCAACTTTAATTATATTAAGTTAGTAGTTTTATTTTGAATATGTAATATATTTAAATGTAAAAAAATAGGCTTTTTATTGTGAAGATAAAACATACACTAGTAAGCTTTACTGTAAAGATATAATATAAATGTAATTAATAGGCTTGTTATTGTGAAGACGTAACAGATTTTATATGAATTAAGTGAAGTAACAGATTTTACATGAATTAAGTGAAAATATTCGTTGACCCCCGAAACCTCCTCCAGGTATACTCCAGTTAATATACCAGGAGATTGCAAAGACATGAAATACTTTTCAAAGCAATGCATGAGCAGGCACGTACTAAGTAATGGAAGATATACCCAGGAACGTTGTTGGCAGTATCTTGCTGGTATTATCGTACCATTTCAACTATTAAGTGTTTACTTTCTTACTTCACGGATCCTCTTAAGATATTTACAGCGATGATCATGTCCATAATCCATATAACACCCAGAACATTCTACTGCACAACGAACAAGTGAACATCATTTTTGCTTCCGCCTCACAAGTGCTACACAATGATTAACTCACAAATTGAAAATGACAGCTGAGCGAAGTTTAGGTCCGTCTTGAACCACATGTGGCGAGGGATAAAATGAAAGAACAGAAGTTTGGTCAAGGTATTGACGCTACTCTTTATATTATAAGACCTCTATATTTTTTATATAAGACATTTTTAAACCTAGCATATTATTATTACATTTGGTGACAACATTGTTACTGCAGCGGAGGAGGTGATCAACTTCTCTCAGGCTGACCTCTTGGAGGATGACCTGATGCTCCTGGACACCTGGGATACCATCTTCATCTGGATTGGTCAAAAGTCCAACAAGGTATGTATTGAAAAAATATTATTATTATTATTATTATTATTATTAATATTATTATTATTATTATTATTATTATTATGTGAGCAAATTACCTGCAGGAAGTTTCCAGGACATCACCCGAATTATTACTTTCAAGTAATTTGGGTGAGGTAAGTGAGACTTAGTCACAGTAGATCACAGAACTGCAACTCCTTCTACTGCCCACTTTTTCACCACTTTCACAAAAAACTAGACCTGACATTAAATTAATGATTATAAAATTAAAACTAGCTGCTCTGGTACATTGAAGTTTAGTGGACTGTATGAGATTAGGTTTGCTGGATACACAAATTATAATTGGTATTAACACTTACTATTTAATTGCTGGAAGACAATGCTGATGGAAGACACCCTAACCTAACCCCTGGCAGCTAGAATTTACGACGGCCAACGCAAAAACTACTGTACATTATGGATAGGCATGACTTAGCTGAGGGGTGCTCCTAGGAGAATTGTTGTCCTCAATTTTTCCGTCCTCCACACAATTCTTGAGGTCCCGCAATTTTTTTGTCCCACTTCTTCATCAGGGGACATTAACACAGGTTCCTATTATAAATTCAGACCTAAATACTTCATTAGACCTCAGAAAACGCAGAATTATTAGCAGAATTTCGACCAGTGCTCACATTAAATTCAATATGGCGTTCCTACTGGCTGTTCTACCCCCCCCCCCCTCACTCGAAATTTCTCGAAGGGTCCAAACAGCATCATATTTTATTACACAATTATTGTATTATTCATTCATATGTTATACATTTAGGAAATTATGTAAAAAAAAAAATTCCACAGTATGTACCTGCAGATTATTGGCATTTGCTTCTTAACTAGGAGACAGATTTAACAAGGAAATTTCTGGATATTTCATGTTAAAACAATAAAACAAACAATAAACAATTTCATTTCTTTGCATAGGGTACAATGTGTGAATGCATATAAAGCGTGTTGATGGGTACAAAGAAAGCCACTAACATGCCGGGGCATTTCGGGCAGACTAACCCTAATGCTTACAGACTACTTAATACTAGAAATATAAAGAGTGATAAATTTTATTTATACATTGACTTCCTTATTACAACAGCGAGATAGCTAAGGAATTGTAATAATCAAATTTATAGTTGAGATGAAGTATATAAAATATAACTGTATTACAATTTAGCACAATTTTCAATAATGAAGTTGAAATAGTTTTAAGTTTGAAATAATTCTTAATTAATTGAGCAGTCGTGAATTATCTGGGATTTTTTTGAGTTGCTGCTTAAGTATAGCGTATGTATGGTTAATTTTGGGAGATGAGATGATTTCTAAATAGAGCCCTAAATTGATTTGTAGGCATGATCTGGCAGTGAATTCCGGATCTTCGGGCCCTTTATGTGTATATGGTTCATTCTCAGTATATAAAGCATCACAGTAAACGTGATGCCTGTGTAACATCAATTGACGTTTCGGTCCGATTTGGACCATTAACTAGGGTATGACTAATTGATGGTCAAAGTCGGACCGAAACGTGGTCATAAGTTTCATTCTCCAGTGTGCAGGTTATATGTGTATTGTTCTAGTCACGGTATTGTGATTTTATATTCTTTAATATCAGTTGGTTGGGATGATGCATGTCATCAAAGATACGTAAAGTTTGCCTTGTCTTGGGTGCTAACATATTTAAACTCAAGCCTGTGCACCAACATTGTAACTAACTCATTACCTTTGTGGTGCTGGTTCCTTCAAGGGACCTGCTTCCTCGAATCAAACCTGATTCCCTGCCATTCCCCAGGGGTTGTATAACGCTTGCGGGTTTATCATTTTCATATGAATATAATAATAATATTGATTGCTATTGTAATATTAAATACTAAACCTACGATAAAAATTAATTGTCGGTATTGTATATCATTCAAGTACAACTAAAGAAGTGATTCTCAACTTTTCCTCCATCATTAACCCCCTCGGCTTGATGTATTTCTCCATTTACCCCCTTCCATACAAAAAATTTATCGCCATCAAAAAGGGACAGAAAAACGAGGTTACAGACACATCATCACACATTCTTAGCATTCTCTCTCTCTCTCACTCTCTCTCTCTCTCTCTGTCTATCTCTCTCTCTCTCCTCTCTCTCTCTCTCTCTCTCTCCTCTCTCTCTCTCTCTCTCTCTCATATTTTACAAAATTAAATTTTATTGAATTATTATTCAATTATCGGGTACATCAGATATTTACCCCTTGCCATGTAATTTTTTACCCCCAAGGGGTAAATTTACCCCTGGTTGAGAATCACTGAACTAAAGCTATGTAGGTCGTACAGCCCAGAGCGTAATGAAAGCTTGATCATCCGTCTGCTAATCGCCAGACAGCGCATCTCCTGCAGTCAAATTTTTCATTAATATGCAGCTTGTTTGGATGAGAAACTTGTCTGTATTTCTTTCCAGTTATTTTATTAATTCCCATTCATGATTTAAGTATGCTGATTGGTCTAACAACAAATTGCTCACAATCATTTTGGTTAAACTCGGTCATTTGTTTCCTTGCTTGACCAAGCCTGGTTTGAAATAAGTTAAACATTTGAAGTGTTCTAAGATGTATGACACCTAGGAGTTACTTTTCACTTGCTTTACTGCTTTTGGCGTCGCCAGGTGGTACACTCTTAATCCATTACAACCTTCAGCATAAATAAATATCGCTCGGTTTCTAACGCATATTGGTCTGTGTTTGTGAACGATATTCGTGGCTAAATTTTCCTGACCAGTCAAGCCACTAAAAAAAGTGACTACCAAAACAGTTATGGTAGACGGGCAGCTGGCCCGAGTTTCTCGGTTCAAACCTCCTAGGATAGTGCCTTCACGTTGGTGAAGGGCTCCTGATTCAAGTGGCAGGAACTACTGTGTTCTTCCTCGAAGCTAACCAGATTACCTTATATTTCCAGGCATTGTATGACTATTATGGGTCCCTGAGTGCATAATAACAGATTAGCTCAAGTCAGCCGCAGCGTATGTCAAACTACTCTACAGGATATTAATCCCCTCTTACAAACCGCAACACTGTCCTTCACAACGAAATTCAGCATAATAACTTTGTGAAGAGTAGAAATAGAGCAGAGATTCGTGGGAAGTGTCAACTTAAGCAACAGAATCATGACAAAACAACTACACTTGCACCTCAACATAGAGCCTATGAATATAATATAAAAAAAGCTTTACAGAATGATAGCTTGGCAACCCCAACACAGAACCTTCTTTAATTATAACAAAGCGTCACTAACTACGAACTGCAAGAACATCCTCTGAGAACTCACGGGATGACACCAAAAAAAAAAAATTTTTTTTTTCATTTATGTTAAGGTAAAAATAATTTTGTACCAAAAGAACCTTAGAAAATTACCTAATCTTATTATAACAAGCGCAATTTAATTTAGCCTCATCCAACTAAATATATTTTAGATAAGTTTACAGTAATTTAATAATAAACAAACACAATGAAATATATTTTATTCGTTAGGTTCAGAATGATTTTTGCGAAAATATTACATACAGAAATTTTAGCTTGCTTTATTCGGCAAGAAGAGCGTTGTTATTTAAGCCAAAATTGCAAGTTTTATATATATATATATATATATATATATATATATATATATATATATATATATATATATATATATATATATATATATATATATATATATATATATATATATATATATGCAAAACAACCACTCTGAAAGAATAGAGAAAGGACCTGTCCAAGTTGGCTCGCCGCGCGTCACGTGTTTAACCGTTGTGGGATCTGATAGTAAGGTGCTGGCCGACCCCTTATATAGCTTCCTTGGATGCTTCACTTTCATAGTTCCTTGATAATGTGAGTAGTCACGAAAGCGCTTGGAATTTCTCTATTCTTTCAGAGTGGTTGTTTTGCATATTCTGAAATCACCTGTTTACTGTGATCTTATTGCATATATATATATATATATGTATATATATATATATATATATATATATATATATATATATATATATATATATATATATATATATAATATATATATATATATATACACACACAAAACAACCACTGTGAAAGAATAGAGAAATTCCAAGTGCATTCGTGACTACTCACGAATGTTCCTTGATAATGTGAGTAGTCACGAATGCGCTTGGAATTTCTCTATTCTTTCACAGTGGCTGTTTTGCATATTCTGAAATCACCTGTTTACTGTGATCTTATTGCATATAATATATATAATATATATATATATATATATTATATATTATATATAGAGAGAGAGAGAGAGAGAGAGAGAGAGAGAGAGAGAGAGAGAGAGAGAGAGAGAAGAGAGAGAGAGAGGAGAGAGGGAGAGGAGAGAGAGGGAGAGAGAGGAGAGAGAGGGAGAGAGGAGAGAGAGAGAGAGAGAGAGAGAGAGAGAGAGGAGAGAGAGGAGAGGGAGAGGGAGAGGGAGAGGGAGAGAGAGGGAGAGAGAGGGAGAGAGAGAGAGAGAGAGAGAGAGAGAGAGAGAGAGAGAGAGACAGACAGACAGACAGACAGACAGAGAAAGAAAGAGCCAGAAACTAACACTTCGAAGTTGACAACCCACCCATAGTCTAACACTGCAGGCTAAAATTTACTAGTAGTCGTTCCCATTATTTACGATCATAACTAAATGACCTAAAGTAACGATGATGGGTCCCTTCCTGACAGCTGATGGAGGACCACATTCATCACGAGATATAAACCTTCAAGAATGCTGTCTTGATGACGGTGAAGAGAGGTCTTTTTGGCAGAGGAATTAGCGGTCACTTGCAGTAGCATTCATAGCCTATCCCAGTTAAAGCTGTATAGAAACAGTCGACCTCAACACCATAGAGGTCACACAACACAATCGATGTTGCCTGGGATCCCTCATTTCCTAATGATGTTCAGTTCAACACTCAAGTAGATGAGGAGAACGACAGACAGTAACATCCTCTAACCTGTGAAGGCAGCCAACACCTGCCAAAGCAAGAATACTGGAAACTAACGTCACGCAAAATCATGTTGGCAACAAATTTCATTCCGTTTTTTTGGGGCTATACACTACATCTATCACCTTCACTTTACATTACATCTATCACCCTTACTTTACACTACATCTATCACCGTCACTTTACACTACATCTGTCACCCTCACCTTACATCTATCACCCTCAATTTACATCTATCACCCTAACTTTACATGTCACCCTCACTACGTCTTTCACCCACAGTATACACTATATCTTTCAACACTATACACCATGTCACCTTTACTATTCACTGTATATGTCACCACTATACATTATACACTACCAAAGTCAGCATCACTATTTGCAACATCCATCACCATCACTATACAGCACATTTATCACCCTCACTGTACCCAACACCTATCACTATACACTACATCTGTCATCACTATACATCATTATAAACTACCAAAGTCAACATCACTCTTCACTACATCTTTCACCATCATTATACACTACATCTTTCACCTCGCTATACTCTACATCTATTGCCATCTTTATACACTACATATATCACCATCACTATATACTACATATTTCACCATCACTATACACTTCATATATCACCATCACTATTCACTACATATGTCACCATCCACTACATATATCACCATCACTATTCACTACATATGTCACAATCCACTACATATATCACCATCACTTTACATATATCACCATCACTTTACATATATCACCATCACTATACACTACATATGTCAACATCACTATACACTACATATATCAACATCACTATACACTTCATATATCACCATCACTATACACTTCATATATCACCATCACTATACACTACATATATCACCATCACTATACACTTCATATATCAACATCACTATACACTACATTTAACATCACTATTACATCTATCACCATAAATATACACTTCATCTATAACCATCATTATGAATTACATTTATCACCAGTAGACCCCTGGCTGTCTGCAAGAGGCAGCTGAACGGGCACCTAAAGTCAGTGCCTGACCAGTCGGGCTGTGGTTCGTGCGTTGGTTTGCCTGCGACCTACAGCAACAGGCGGGCTGATCAGGCCCTGATCCACCGCGAGGCTTGGTCATGGACTGGACCGCGGGGGCGTTGACCCCCGGAATATCCTCCAGGTATGCTTCATGTAAACATCTGCCAATATAAGCATGTTGGTAACCATCAGTTGTCAGCACAAACTTGTTGGTAATCAACATCTACCAGCATAAACCTTTTAGCAACGAACAACTGTCAAATAAGTCATATGGTAACTAACTTCCGCCAGAGACAGTCATAACGTTACTCTTTTCAAACAAACCAAAAAAAAAAACAGATGGGGAAAAAAGGAGAGATGCACAAACACACAAATTTTTACACATTCCATATCCTGTCGTTAACCTTCCCTGCATATCCTTACTAGTCCCATGATCACTCCTTGCCCTGTTACTCAACACTGATATTTTTTTCATCTAACATCATTAAATACACAACATTGTACGGATGCCTTTTACTCCACCCGTTCGGTGATTTGTTTGCAATCATGTTATAACGATTTCGTGAGTTAAAGTGAACATAGCGGGGATTTAAGGGAAACCTGCCCATACGTTTCGCTGGTCTGACTGGAACTCGCGACCTTTTAGTGGTGAACTTACTCGGCATCCCTTCAGCATGGTAGCGGGAAGATCGGGGGGACTGAGAGAACAGGAAATGTTGACCTGACCTCTGACCAGTGAGGACGAGAACCACCCATGCATTACCCGGGGCGACCTTAGCCCTGCTCTTCAATGTTTACCCTTGTGAGGTGCCGCTCCTCCCTCAGCCTCTGTCAGCTTGTTCTAGTTTCTTCGATATTAATTGATTTATGCAGATTCTACTGCTCCCAAAAGATACCTAAAATTCTAGGCAAAAGAAAATACTTCATAACTGGTAAAAATGTATATCGTAATTGTTAAAACCCCTTTAGAGCCTTAACGTTAGGTATTTTCATATATATTATTGTGCCCACGAACAAGTGGTATTTGATCAATAACAACACTGCGACTAGCCAAGGACTCGAACCCATGCTGCTTTGGCCTGCCTCTTGGGAGCAGAATAAAATTAGCCTAGAGTCACCTACACCAACGTATGTCCTTGGGTAGCGAGTACAACATTCAGTTCTGCTGGGTGCGTTACTCTTAAGGATTGTTTGGTCCCGTGGGTAAAGGCGTCATGAGTTTTCGCCTACCAAGAGGCAGGCCAAAGTAGCATGGGTTCGAGTCCTTGGCTAGTCGCAGTGTTGTTATATATATATATATATATATATATATATATATATATATATATATATATATATATATATATATATATATATATATAGTTAATCTTGCCATATAGGACAAGTGAAAATTTGTGTATGCAATAATTTCGCCAAAATCATTCTGAACCTAACGAAAAAAATATGTATCACTGTGTTTGTTTAGTATTAAATTACTGTAAACAAATCTAAAATAAATTTAGTTGGGTTAGGCTAAAATAAATTGCTCTTGTTATAATAAGGTTAGGTAAGTTTTCTAAGATTCTTTTGGTGCAAAATTAAAAATTCTTACATTAACATTAATGAAAAAAATATATCTTTAAACGTATAAAAGAAAATTTCTGAAAAGACTTAATTTTAAATGAGTTCTTACTAATTGACCAGTTTACATATTCGGCACGACACACACACACACACACACACACACACACACACACACACACACACACACACACACACACACACACACACACACACACACACAACACATATATATATATATATATATATATATATATATATATATATATATATATATATATATATATAAATATCCCAAACAGAATGAGGTCGAAATTAGTCTCTGAGGCTCCACGACCACGTATGTTCTCGCATCAGGGAAACGCGCTTAAGTTGCAACATGCTCTACTTGCCTTTCACGTACACCCTCAACCCTTCTTGCACATTCCCTCCCACTAACCTTCCCTGCCCATTATTGCACCCTCCCATTAACTTTCCTTGCCCATTATGGGGCCTACCCGCTAACATTCCCTTCCCACAAAGTCTATGGCCTGCTCACCCATTAATTCTAAGACCCACTAGCACTGAATGTTATAAATCATTACATTAAATACTTTCAGTTTAAAAATATTCGATTGTTATCAAATGTATTTGCATTTTGTTTACGTTGTTCCAGTGTGACTAATGTATAATGAACCAAGTTGGCAGAAATGTAAATAGATTAAATACCATTGATAGTGTTCAGTGTCACTGCAAGCAAGTAACGCTATTTGTATTTTACACAAGTTATTACATCAGCTGGATTTTTAGAGTAAATGGGAAATTTCTTAAACAATACGGACATCAATAATAGTCCTGTGAGTGTTCCCTGCATTTGTCAGCCCAGCAACCCCTGGTGGTTTAGCGCTTTCCCATGGGTAAAAGAATAATAATTCCCAGGGTAACAGAACCCCTGCTCATACTTGCCGTCCCCAGTCCTCTCTCTCCCACCCAACAACCTCAGTTTACACAAGAATGAATATTCCATGAAATATCTAAGGTGTTGCAACCCATTCTCATTTTATAACGTCAGTGGTTAATGTTGTACTCAACGTCAGCCACTTCAAATTTCCTATTTTTGTCCAAAGTGTATTTTCTTGATTTTAAGCTGTATTAAGTTAATTTAGGTTAGGCCACATAAACTTATAAAATCGTATTGATAACCAAAAATTAGTAAAATACTCCATGATACTTTTGGAAACGAAGTGGCCAAGAAAAAATAGAAAATATGGAATGATTAACGTTCATCATTCTTGGTGCAAGAATGAGCAGTGCATGTAACCCGCTAACATTCACTACCCACTAACCTGGCGTGCGTGCATGCCACAGGAGGAGCAGAGGGCTGCGGACTCCATGACCATTGAGTATTTGAGAACAGACCCAGCTGGCCGCGGCAAGGACACCACCATCATCAAAATCAAACAGGGGTTCGAGCCACCCAATTTTACAGGATTTTTCGGCATATGGGACAACGACCTCTGGAACGTAAGTTATAAAAAAAATCTTCAGTTTCACCATACAATATAAAAAAATAGTTTAATAAGTGAAAATAATGAGAACACTCTTATAACCATACAACATAAAGAAGAATTTAGTTGAGATAATATAAACCCTCTTGTTTTCAGATTTTGAGCCTGACTTTGCAGCTGTTGTGTCTTAAACGAGCAGTCTTCCTTCTTGAAAACATTCACTGATTCATTGTTTGGAAGGGGGATAACTCAAATGCAAACACCTATTACCTAACTGTTCTTATGTAACGTCTCGTATATCTAAACCTTATGAACTTGAACTAGGCTGTTATATTTTAAATTATATTGCTCCATACAAGCTTCTAATTAATGTGTCTTCTGAAAGGCATCATAGTCTGAAGATTATCTTTCGCGATTGTCAGTTATGTTGTGTTTTGCTCTCTTAACACTGGCGTGCAGACGTTATTGTTCTTGATAACAGTAGAAGGATTGAAATAATTCTGGTTGTCATCAGTAGTGGTGAAAGGAAATGTTCCATAACATATAACTTGATACAACTATACTCAGCAAAACATTACCCTGATGAAAGATTGTTCTGGAACGTGTCTTTTCGTCATACTTAAGGTCCATTAATTTAGGTCCAACTAACCCCCCCTTCGCCAAATCCTGTAAATCTCGCCGCCCTCTCTCCCTCTACCCCATGTTCTTAATATATTTTATATATATATATATATATATATATATATATATATATATATATATATATATATATACATGTATATATTATCTCAACTTTCCCTACCCATCCTCCTAAATTTATAGATCTATCTGCCTCCCCCTGTGTTCAAATTTGGTAATTCTCTGAGTCTCTCCTAGTTGATATTCTTCCCCACTTCCCTTCACCGCCCTTGTGGTTTAGCGCTCCTTTTTTATAATAATAATAATAATAATCATCCAGTAAACCTCAGAAATCATCGGTACCATAATCAGTAGATCACTCTGCTTGCCTTGTTCATATTATTTCTACCCGTCTTTGCTGAACCTGGCAAATCTTTTCTCTCATAATAAAAATAATGTTTATGTGAAACACTAAACCCGTGTTGGTCATTCAGCGCAAGGAGTGGTGAGGCTTGATCCTCCGTCCACTAATAGTGAGACGAACGCTGTACTCGAGAAACCTTCCAGACTGAATCCCATTTCATAGGCGCTGTATGTTCCCTAAGGGTTGAGCGTTTTTATTTGAATAAAATAAATTATCTTCTCCCCTTCCCCTCTGCCACGATGTACTGTGGCTTGGTTGGCAATGCTCTCGTCCCACACACTAAGTGTCCGTGGTTCGATCCCCGCACAGGTGGAAATGCTGGGCGTGTTTCCTTATACCTGCTGCCCCTGTCCACCTAGCAGCAAGTAGGTACCTGGGTGTTAATCGATTGTTATAGATCGTAACCTGAGGGACAAGATTAATGGACCCCAGTCGAAATAAGAGTCCTCGATGACGCATGACTTTATTGGGTTATCTTGGGTGGCTAACCCTCCAGGACGAAAATCCAAACAAATTTTTTCTTTATCTTAACCTGATAGATTTTACCAAGCTGGCAACTCTTTCCTGATAATGGGATCTTCATCACAAAAACATGTTGCTACACATGCTCTCCTCCATTTACTCCCCACCCTTCAAATCTGAGCCTCACACAGTGAAATTTAATTGTTTCACTCATCCAGTTGTTACCCATTTAAGATCTAGCTCCCGAGTCATGTAGCTAGAGACAACTTTCTGGAGGAGGAATCACCAATAGAATTCCACAAACATTAATTTGTGTCTAGGGGTATAGTTTGGTCTGTGATTTCACACTAGGAATATCTATGTCTCTCATCAGGAGAAGGGGTAGACAGTACATTCCTTTTCATAGAACTCTTCTACCAGAGAGTCATTACATGAGCTATTTTCATGTCTACCTGGTGTACCCTATTTCTCACTCATCTACATCAGAGCAACTCATCAGAGCAACATAGTCGCCAGTTATCACTAAATAGTCCGGTATTCGCAGACTGATTTGTTAAACTCAGTCGAATGGTACCATAGATACATAACTGTGTTTGACATGCCATGACTCTATATTTGTGTTGGTTGATCTTCAAGGTAACACGACATCTACCACATATCATGAATGTATCTTTTTGTTGGTTGGTCTTCAGGATAACATGACATCTACCACATACCATGAATGTAATTTTGTGTTGTTGGTTTTCAAGATAATATGACATCTACCACATATCGTGACTGTACCTTTATGTTGGTTAGTCAAGATAACATGACATCTACCACATACCATGACTGTATCTTTATGTTGGTTGGTCTTCAGGATAACATGACGTACGCAGATATCTGCGAGCGGCTGGAGGAGGCATGCCCAGGAGCCACCGTGCTTGTCACCTCATCCTCGTCCAGTGGGACTTCAGGCAGACGAACCTACCCTCTGGCTACTCTCCGGGAGAAGGACCCAGAAAAGTTGCCACCCGAAGTGGATCCCGTTCATAAAGAGGTGAGGTTTGGAGTCCCGTCCATCATGACAAAAAATATTTAATTATTATTGCGAAATCGGCTAGTTTATTATGCGCCCAATGCTTAACCTGTGAGCGATGGAGCAGAAAGACCAGTTCTCAGACCCAGTTGGATAAATAGTTATATCTTTTCATACTCTGGCTTAAGTGCCGTAAACACATTTCATTAAAAAGGTAAATCCCATAGAGACTGATAATAAAACCCGGAATGGACGAGATCTATATCTGTTTTGGTTTCAATAAGAGCCTCATCTTCTGAAGAGGGTCTCCAACAGAGACCGAAATACAGATCTCTTCCATTCCATGTTTTATTTTTTGTCCCTGTGGCATTTACCTTTCTATATCTCATATGTTTGACACCTGCATGCAAACTGAACTGTCAAAAATATTTATTATTTATTTTTAGTCTAGCAGTGACCATATATTTTATTATAGTAATCATGTTACTTCCCCTCATACACGTTACACACGATATATTTCATTGTGATGGATAATGCATCTGTTATGTCCTGTCTGTATTCTTCGACCTAACACTTATTTGTCGGGTCTTTTCCCAAAGCTTATAAAATGTGTGACAGCTCAAAATTATATTCAGTATTCTCAATGTTTTCTAGTTTAGCTAAATTATTAACTCGATTATGTTCTGGAGGCCTGTATACTATATTAGAGGAAATCGTTAAGTGTAGCTTGAATCCTTTTATCAATAATTCGTTTATATTTGTATATGGGTTCAAAAATAATCACGTTACATTCAGATTTTTGCTTATTTAGAGCAAGTAATGAGGATAAGGAGTCACATAATTCGTACATTAAAACAACAAAATATTTATTTTTTTGTAGCTGTAGTTATTAATTGCCGTAGCATAATGAGATTAGAAGAAAGTGTATGGAAAAAAAAAGAAAAAAAAACTAGACAGAAAAATCAAATAAGGGCAAACAGAAAACTGACCATTTGGTCGTCAGAGATCCTCATTGTGGGAGATCTTCGACTGTGGCCGAAATAACACAGCTCTTCTTTGCTGTCTAGGTGGTTCTTTTTCATCGGTTATTGTTTATGGCACCTAGTCCAAGATATAAAATATATACGATTTTATACGAACTTGTGGTTGGCAGGACTTCCTGAGTGACGGAGACTTCAAGACAGTGTTTGGGGTCGACCGAAACGAGTTCGAATCTATTCCGCAGTGGAAGAAAAACAATCTGAAGAAGAAAGCTGGACTGTTCTAAACACTGACGTAACTAACACCACTGGGATGATGCAAGATGGAGAAGAAACGTCTGCCTTGCATTGTGAACGGTATAAGTCAAAATTATGCACAAAATAAGTTTCAGGAAACACAATAACAGTTATATATATATATATATATATATATATAATTTTATATATATATATATATATATATATACATGTATATGTATGTATATATGTATATATATGTATATATTCTCTCACTATTTCAGTGCATGTTATAAACCTGCGAAGTAAATTTAAAAGTATACTCACTATGCACTGACCGTAATCACTACTTCAAAACAAAAACATCATGCATAATTCCACGCGAATGATTCGTTAGAATTTATACACAAGACAGTATTGTTTAAGAAATGAGCAGTGGAAGACGTCCAGGATAAGACTAGACTTGTTGCTGTCAAGGACTCAGCTCACGTTCATTCATACAATGTTCATTATAGACCATCATCAGAGTATTTTTCCTGGTAAATTGACGACATCAAATTAGGCCACTAGCGTAATACAACTCACTGTCCTTTATCCTGTAATATCACAAGATTGTATATTTAATATGTTTTCGAATGGCTTTGTTGACTATGGCCATGATTTCAAATCTTGTTTCTTGAACTGAAGAAGTATGATGAAGCTTTGTATTAAAAATATTATTGATATGCTGTATTTGTATTCCGGAAATTGAGGTCACATATTATAATACTAATAACTAAAAATTATTTTCATTTTAAGAAAACGAGACCCAAGTCATGGATGCTTCACTGGCTTGTCCAAGTATAAAAGAGACTGAATAGGCAATTTTAGTAGAGTCCCCCCAACCCGCCTTCAAGTGTTCCATCTTCAAGTACTCATTCAAAAGTGAAATCTTTTCTTTAAGTTCTTGCTGTGTCATTAGTGATATGCCACTTAATACTGTAGTAGTGTCATTTCTGTTGGTCGTACTCCACGTTTTTTTTTTTTCATTTAAATTTGATATGGGACAACAAGACTGGAGTGAGCCGACCACTAGGGAAGGATCGGTAGCATCCCGTTTCGTCTATCCCATTTAGTCTACTTTCTATTTGGTCTACTTATTATCACTTCTAAAAATGGCTGTCAGATTTGGTTAAGTTAGGTTAGAGTATTCGACAGCTGAGCATCTAAGACTTTATACCTCATCATGACCATTTTTACATTATAGCGTGTAAAACAACTTTCAGAGATCGTTAGTTGATAGTATACACAACGGGATTGTATGACATTTTCAGAGGAGATATCATTTGATTTCAGGTGTAGATGAAATTGAAATTTGGCAGTAGACAATATGGAAGTGGCCCGAACGAGCATAAGCGGGTTCAGGCTCCTTGTGGTCCTAAACTTAATTGGAAATCTTTTTCCAGAGACCCCTCTGTATATGTCATGTTGCGTTTACTTTATGTTTGTGATTCATGTTATGATCACGAAGAATGGTGTAAATAAAATGATAACCAAATATATTCGCATATTTTTTTATTTTGTCCCAGATTTTTCTAAGAAACCAATTCTCTGTTTTAAAGTTTGCCTATACAGAAAGTGAGCTTGTCAAGTGACAGAACTGTTATCAAGACAAAGGAAAGTGATACTTAAAACTTGTATACCTTTGAGTCTATTTTTGGCAGTGGCAAAAATGTGAGAGTTCCAGTAAGTCAGAAGTAACCAGAAGACCCGAAATATATATAGAGGATCGAGGCTTCCGAGTAGAGGATTGAATCTCTATTTTTGATTGAGGCTCCAAAATAGAGGACCGCGCAAATATAGACGTTAGGCTCCGGAATACAGGATTAAGGCTTAAGATAAGTTTTCTTTTATAAGTGAAGCTGTTAACTAACAAGAAATTTTAATAATATGATTGTTTAGTAGAAACGTTACATACCACTTTTTTGAGAAGAATGTATTTTATAGCCGTGCGCCTTATAATGATTGTACTGGGATCAAATGTAGCATATACCCAGTATGTCCAGCTTGAAGCAGACTGTGCAAGACTGCGCATTAATGTGACCTGAGCAAATTATCCTCCAGCCTCACCCTGCCCATCTGATCATACGTACATAGTCCTGCGTCTTTCCCATATCCTCCTTCCCACGCATTGTTGCACATCTGTCCCTCTTCCCCCCCCCCCCCCCTACACACGCGCGCGCCCTACAAGTTAACAGAAGTAAGGCAGGAAGAAAAAGGATGGGTAAATTGCGTCTTTGACTGTAATAAGGCTTTTGATACAATAACGCACAAGAAACTGGAACAAAAGCTAAAGGGGCAAGTAGGAATAACAGGGAACGTACTACAACGAATCAAAGTATACCTGATAGGAAACAACGAGTGATTGTCCGTGAAGAGGTGTCAAAATATATGCATGTGACGAGTGGTGTTCCACAAAGATCAGTTCTAGGGCCAGTGCTGTTTCTTGTGTACGTGAATGACGATGAAAGGGATAGTCAGATGCATTCCTGTTCGCAGAGTATGTGAAACTAATTGAAGAGAATACAAACAGACGTGGCCAGGAAAGGCTGCAAATGTATCTGGACAGGTTACAGGTCTAGTATGACAAGTGGCTTCTGGAGTTTAAGCCCACCAAATAAAATGTTATGAAATTTGGGGAATGGCAAAGACCGTAGACAAAGTACAAGCTCGGGGAGGAAGCAAAGGCTGCAAATCTCATACGTGGAGAAGGACCTTGGAGTGATTATTGTACCGAACATATCGGTACAATAATCACTAAGATTAGCTGTTAGACGTCTAAAGTCAGGAGTCATTCACGGCACTGTACACCGTGGACGTCAGGCCCATGTTGGAGCGTGCAGCAGCAGTATTGAGCCCACACCTAGTTAAGCATGTCAAGAAATTGGAGAAAGTGAAGAGGTTTACAACGAGACCAGGCCCGGAGTTAAGAGGTATGTCTATGAGGAGAGGTTAAAGAAACTCAGCCTGATGACACTGGACCACAGAAGGACTGTGAGCAATGTGATAAGGTACAAAATACTGAGAGGAACTGATAGTATGAATAAAAACAGATTGTTTCATAGATGGGATATAATAACACGAAGCATAGCTAGAAGTTGAAACCTCAGATGAGTCACGAGGACGTTAGGAAGTATTTCTTCAGCCTTTGATTTGTCAGGAAGTGGAAAGTCCTAGAGAATGAAGTGGTAGATGCAGGATCCATACATAGCTTGAAGAAAAGTTACGAAAAGGCTCTCGAAGTCAGGAGAGAGTGGACCTAGCAGCGACGGGCGAAGAGGTGGGACCACGAGCTGAGAATCGACCCTTGCAACCACATATAGGTTGTGCGCGCGCACACGTACGCACTTTTGCGTCTTCCTAACCACTTAAACACATTACTATATCCTCCACACACGCATATACACTGTACACATTCTTGCCTCTTTCCATGCTCGGACGCATTCCTAGATTTTCCACATATTTGTAAACATATTTGTCTTCCCACGAATCAATATATATCCGTACATTTTCACTCATTTTATCTTTACATTGTTTCCACACACCCCATACACATACACATACGCATACACATACACGCATACACATAGCTTTAAGAAGAGGTATGATAAAACTCATGGAGCAGGAAGAGTGATCTAGTAGCGACCAGTGAAGAGGCGGGGCCAGGAGCTGTGTATCGACCCCTGCAACCACCACTAGGTGAGTACCTCTCACACACATCCTTGCAGCTTCTCACACCGATACATTCCCAAACACCCATATAAATTCCCCCGCACCCATACATATTCTCTCACATCCATATACATTCCCAAACATCTCTGCATCTTCCCTCAGACTCATATCCATTCCACATCTTCATATACACATTCCCATATTTTTCCTCAGCCATACATATTCCTACATCTGCCCATACACCTTCACAGTTTGCAAGGCGGCCACTACTGAATTATATAATAGAGTCACTTGTAGTTGTAGATGTTTGTAGTGTTAAAGTTAGAGGCACTTTTTGTAGTTGAAATAATTACGTTTGTATTAAAGTGAGACACTTGAAGTGGTTGTAGTAATATGTTTGTAGTGCTATATTGAGACACTTGTAGTTGTGATAGTATATTCGTAGTGTTGTAGTGAGAGACATTAAAGTGGTTGTGGTAGTATGTTTGTAGTAAGAGGCACTTACAGTAGTTGAGGCAGTATGTTTGTAGTAAGAGGCACTTACTACAAACATACTGATGATTTGCAGTTGTCCTTTCGCTTCCCTGCATCAAACCTGACTGCCTTCCATTCCCTAGACGCTCTATGACCACTACACATTCCCCTGGTTGATAATAAATGCTGAGAGGTAGACTCTACAGGTAGATCTACATGTTTACATGGTACTGAAAAAATATGGTAACATAACCAGTAGTTGGAAGAAAGTTGGTTACTGTGAAATAACGTGATAATGTATCATGACGTGTTGTTGACTGTATGAGTGGCGGGGTGTGTACGTAGCAGGTGTTATAAGGGCAGGTGTGTGACGAAAGGTTAATGATTGGTGGAATGATGAGGCGAAAGTTGCACTCCTTACTCCTTATATATGTACTAAAAATCCTCTCCTCTCATAGATCATTATTATAATAATAATCAAAACCAAGTTTTAATCCCTCCAGGGTCAGACAGCGCTGCAGGTCAGGTTCTCAGAAATAAGAATAATGCAGCTTCAGTGGAAACTATTTTTTTATTGAGTCTTTCTCTCTCTCTCTCTCTCTCTCTCTCTCTCTCTCTCTCTCTCTCTCTCTCTCTCTCTCTCTCTCTCTCTCTCTCTCTCTCTCTCTCTCTCTCTCTCTCCCTCTTTTTTTTTTTTTTTTTTTTTTTTTTTTTTTTTTTTTTTTTTTACACAGGGTTTGACAAGGTTAAGGATCCCTAGCTTTATTGACAGCTATTTACAGGTTAAGGATTCCTAACTTTATTGGCAAGCTAAGAGCTGTTACCTACATCAGCTCATTTGAAAGCATTTTTATTGTTATGAGACATACAAGTAGGAAACAGGATGAAGTTGGAGCCATCTGTGGGCAAGCATTTTCATTTGATCAACTGACTTTATCTCATTGACATCATTATGCTGTACGAATGTGTTCCATACTCGAGTCATCCTGGGTATGTATGATCTCAGATGGAGTGATGTTCTGGAGAAGGGTACAGCCAGAGTGAAGTTGCTGCTTTCTGCCCGTCTTGTGGCATAAAAGCTTGTTTCACGCTGTCCTCGAAGTGGATCCAAGTGTGGTATTTTGACAATATTGGCCTTGTACATAACAGTAAGGCCACCCACATCCCTCCTATGTTGAAGGCTCTGCTGAAATGACAGATCTATCCAGGATGGGTCCAGGCGAGAGATGAGACGTCTTGCTCTGTTCTCTACTCTGTCAAGCAGTCACACATGAGAGGGGGGGGGCAGGCAAACCAAGAAAGTGGAGCATACTCAAGGTGTGAGCGTACTTGTGCCTCGTACAGGATCTTGCAACCCCTACTGTCAAGCAGATGGGAGATACGGCGAAGTGCTGTAAGCTTCCTGGCTGCCTTGTTTGCAAGATTTACAATGTGATTCTTCATGGTTAGTTTGGAGTCAAATTTCACCCCAAGGATATCAACTTCTTCTCCAGGTGACAACATCCTCCCATTCATCCTTACTACTGCACCAGCATTACCATCATGGTGCCTAGAGACGATCATCATTTGCGTTTTCTCAGGTGCAAATGTTACTTGCCATCTATTTCCCCAAGCTGATATAGCTCTCAGCTGGTGATTGATGTAGCTTAGAGCAGCTGGCATTTCTTCTCTTGGATAAGTGAATGTCAGTGTACAGTCGTCTGCATATGCATGTGATTCTGGGATGAGATGAAGAAGGTCGTTGAAGTAGACATTCCGTAACAATGAACCCAGCACGCTTCCTTGTGGAACACTTGCCCCAATAGGATGTCTTGCTGATTCCATTCCATTGAGAACTACACTTAGAGATCTACCATGAAGGTAATCACTGAGGAGACATAGCGTAGAGCCTGCAATTCCCAGTGCTTGAAGTTTTGCTAAGAGGCCCTGGTGCCACACCCGGTCGAAAGCGCCAGCAATGTCCAGTGCTACCACACAGCTGACTTTGGATTCATCCAGTGACTGGTGCCACTTAGTGGAGAGGTTTAACAACAGATCAGCAGCAGAGTAACCTTTCCTGAAGCCATATTGACGATCACAAAGTAGTGAGTGGTAGTCAAAAAACTCTGTCATTTGTCTGGAGATTATTGTCTCAAGGATCTTACCAGTGATTGACAGGAGTGACACTGGTCTGTAGTTGCTGATTTCTGCTCTGCTCTTCTTTTTGTGAACAGGGACTACATTTGCCTCTTTCCATAGAGAGGGCCATTTACCCTGTACTAGGCAGTGCTGAAAGATGCGAGTTAGAGGTGCTGCTAGCTGGTCTGCACATCTTCTCAACAACCTTGGGCTCAACTTGTCTGGGCCCACAGCCTTT